TGAGAGGTTTGCAGTTCATTAAATGCTGATAACATTTAGGAATTTTTAGGTATTTGGAAGACTTTGGAAATAACATTTTTAGAATTGTTGTTCTCTTTAACTTGACTGCTCGTATTTTGTTCCTGCATTATATTCTATAAGGAGTGAAGCACTAAAACATGATTGTAAAACATTTTTTTCTTAATTTGGCTAGCTTTATTTATTACTTAACTTTTTTACTTTTGATTGTATTGGTCACTAGTAGTCTCTGAGTCTCTGACTCTGAATGCTTTTACCCCATCTATTTTGGGTAGTCAGAAAGAGTGCATTTCTTGGAGCTATTCTTTCCCTCTGGTCTTTTATTTCCCCAGGATATATTTTACGTATCACATTGTATGTTTCCTAGTGCAGTGATTAGTTACACCTCTGAATATGTCAGGAGATGGAAACATGGCTCTGCATCCTTCCATAACTTCTGGCCCTTTACATGATACAGAAAGAAATGAGCTGTTTCTTCTGCAAGCAGTGGAACATATCAGTAGCAATAGTCTCTCATGCCTCATCTGTTCTCTTATGCTGAAGCAGAAGATGGGACCTGGATCAATTTTTCATTTGCACATCTATTCTGGGAATAGATAATTTGTTATGTAGAAGGCACAGTTTCAGCATGCGAATGTGTTTACATCCCTTGGTGGGACGGATTCTTTGACTTATTGAGACACCCAAAGTAAGGAAGCTCATGGTCTCATCTTGACTGCTGAAGGTTCCTGTAGCATTGGCATCTCGAGGACAGAACCAGTACAACTGATTTCAGTTAAAGCTTTCATCATTGTCCTAATGCAGAATATAGACAGATATTGGAAGGAGATGCATCCAGAAAGTAAACATTAGAGTACACCAAGTCCCAGCGAGTAAGTAAGCATTGACTGGAAGCTTCCTGGAAGCCCCTGATGTCTCTCTGAAACTTAGTGAATCAAAGATTTTGGCTGCATGTAACTGACAGTCTCTTTTTGCATCCTTCTTTATACTAGTTGCTTCCACAGGATATTTTAAAATCCTGAAGAAATTGTTATCTACTGTTAAATAAGAAATGTATCAAAAAAAATGTTGGAACTTTTTTAAAATTGAAGCCACTTGACAGTAGGATCCATGAGAATATTAAGACCCTGCTGGACAAAAGGAAGATTCAAAAGAAGAAAAAAGTTGTGTCACTGAGTATCTGTGTCACTGTTCTACAACGGACAGTAATATATCTGGGTATGTATGGTTAAAAAAAGGCAAAATACTAATCTGAATTTATACAAGAACTTTTAAAAATGATTTAGTGCCTATTTTCCCATTTTTCTGTAGTATGGAAGTGCCTGAAAATATGAATGAAATAGAATTTAATGAGAACAAAAACATGGGGAAGAAGGAAGACATGAAGTCATAGAATCATAGAATAATTCAGACTGGAAGGACCAGGTTGTACAGGGCACCTTTAGGGATGGAGACTGGACAACTTCTCTGGGTCATCTGTTCCGATGCTTGAATGTCCTAACGATGGAAACTTCTTTCAAGTTATGCTTGTTGTCTCTTGTCTTCCTAGTGTGTACCTCTGTAAAGAGCCTTGCTCTGTTTTCTTGAAAACCTTCTCTGCCCTTTCATGGCATGGGATGGAAAAGGAGATGCTCCTGCCAGTAGAGAAATTCTTCGTGCTCTGGAGTAGCTAATCAGCGTTCTCGGGCTCACTAAGCGCTAGCTTTTGTAGCGAGGAAGCCAGCCTAAAGCTGTGCATTACATTTTTCAAAAATTTACTGTTGTGCATACCCAGGTCCCATGGAAGGCAACGGGAAAGAGATTACAAATGTTAATAAAAGTTCAGTCAGCTAAGTATTTTTTTCTCTCTCAATCAGAACTTTGCTCTTTGTAACTTTTAGGCTTTATTTTAGCTCCAAGTAAAAATAAAGATACTTGAGTTATCAGGTATGTAACTACTAGTAGATTTTTTCTGAGCAGGTGTTAAAGGGACAGTTCACTGGACTGAATAGCGAACAGATACGGTAAAATAGCAAATAGTTGCATGCCTTTGTTCAGAACGATGCGCGGATGAGTGCCTGTATTTCCCAAATGTTTTGCATGGCCATAAAAGAGAATTTTGCCTTGACTTCAATGAGTACATTTTAAACTGATGTCAATTTTGGCTTACATTTTCTAAATGTTGAAGCTGTTTCATCTTCAGGAAGCGTGCTCCAAAATATACATGCTCTTTTTCCATAAATTTTCATTTTTGATTAAAAATAAATAAATCTTTCATATTGCAGTGCAATGATAGAATTAAAAGAAAAATATTAAAATACAGAAATCAGATATTAATGTATTCTATTTTATCATACTCAAGGGCAAATGAAGTTGATGGCCCATTTTTTAATTGATATATTGATTACAATTTTCTAAGTAGTAGTGGCGGAATTCAGCAAAAATGATTGAGGTGGTACAAATGCTTATAAATCTGTCCCACGTTGTTCTTGTTCTTTAATTGTAATTGTCTTATAAAACTTCCATTAGTTTTTGTAATTAACCTAATGGTCTAAATGAATTTCCAGATCACTGGTTATTCATTTCAATATAGAAAATGCCATTACGTTGAGTTTAATTAATATAAAGTAAGTTCACAGTCCATTGTATCATTAGAATAG